AGGTATTTGCATACATCCTGACCTCGTTCATTTTGTTGCTGAATTCAGTAAAAATAATGTTTAGGGTAGATGGTTAGATCTAACCTCTTTTCTACCCTCATTTCTACCCTCTTGAATTTTCATGAATTTTATATATTAATGTTTTCGTTATGCCACTTTGTGCCGTCAGTCAGTCAGTCAGTCAGTCAGTTTAGGAAATTTACACCAAAAATATAATTTAGGTGAAGAGGTGAGATCTAACACGTTTTCTAACCTCATTTCTAACCTCTTGAATTTTCATGAATTTTATATATTAATGTTTTCGTTATGCCACTTTGTGCCGTCAGTCAGTCAGTCAGTCAGTCAGTTTAGGAAATTTACACCAAAAAATAATGTTTAGGGTAGAAGGTTAGATCTAACCTGTTTTCTCACCTCTTTTCTACCCTCTTGAATTTTCCCGAAATAAAAAATAAAGTTAGTTTTATTTTATTTATTCTTCATTTTTTTGTATAAAAGATATGATTTCAGGGATTTTTTTGACGAAGTGTCAATCTTCACTTCGTCAAAAATAACAGTTATATAATGAAAAAGTGAAAGTTATTCTTCATTTTTTTGTATGTTAGATATGATTTCAGGGATTTTTTTGACGAAGTGTTAGTCTTCACTTCGTCAAAAATAACAGTTATATAATGAAAAAGTGTCATTTTTTGTATTTGACGAGAATGTCGGGTAGAAGGTTAGATCTAACCTCATTTCTACCCTCATTTCTACCCTCTTGAATTTTCCCGAAATAAAAAATAAAGTTAGTTTTATTTTATTTATTTTTTTTATTTTGTATAAAAGATATGATTTCAACAATCGGCACAACAGCAATACAAACAACTACAGCACCAAACTCGTTAGTCATGAATCCAACGTCAATGTTAGTAGAAATGAAAAGCTTCATTCCTTCTTCATATACTTTCGAAACAAAAATCCAGAAGATAAAGCAGGAACTTTTAACAAGTAATTTAGACTGTAGTGCGAAAGATGAAACAAATGAAGAATATCTTTATGAAATGCAGGACATTATTGACCATTTACCCAAACTACCTGAAATCCAACAACAAAAACTCACTATTCCTGAATTCGACGAAATTGAAGTGAAACCAACTGACTCAGTAGAAATAAAGAAGTTCATACGAAAGGTAAATTATGAATTCCTTGGTTTTCATTGCAACCATAAAGTTATGGACAAAGATTGCGATATGGTATATAAGAATGTTTCTGACATATATAAATCTGAAGAATTTAAGACCTACGACAACTTTGTTTCGTTAGTTGCAGAATGTGTTTGGGAAATAAGAGATAAAGATAGAAGAGGTAAGGTATGGAATGAACAGATAAAACCAGCAGCTTTTGAGTTAAAGAAAACCATTGACGCCTTAGTTGTTCTAGCAGGTAAGGTTTCAGAATATAACGCAAAAATGAACCCGCAATGTTCTAAATGTAAAGCAGCAATGAGGAGATATAACTACTCCGTCAAAGAGATAGAAAGAATGAGAAACGACTATGCAGACTTAAAGAAAGAAGCAGAGAAGCCGGTAGAAAATAAAATGGACATGTTAGAATTTCTGAACAAAAACTATCCAACAGCAGAAGATTTCCTTCTATCTGACGTCAAGAAGAAGTATAAAGAAACTTTCGGTATCGTTAAAACATTCGATGTACTAAAAGAAGAAATAGAAGCTACGAAACTGTTTAGAGTCTCACAAATTCATAACGTTTACCATGTAAAACGCTTATAAAATAACTGGGGTAGAAAAGAGGTTAGAAAACAGGTTAGATCTAACCTTCTACCCTAAACATTATTTTTGTCTGATTTACGCTCATTACGATGAAGAAGTCTTGACAAAACATTTACGAAGAAGTTTTGACAAAACATGTACGAAGAAGTCTTGACAAAACATTTACGAAGAAGTCATGAAAATTCAAGAGGTGAAAAAAGAGGGTAGAAATGAGGTTAGATCTAACCTTCTACCCTAAACATTATTTTTGGGTCATTTACGCTCATTACGATGAAGTTTCGACAAAACATTTACGTTCATGTTTGACAAAACATTTACGTTCATGTTTGACAAAACATATACGTTCATGTTTGACAAAACATTTACGAAGAAGTCTTGACAAAACATATACGAAGAAGTCTTGACAAAACATATACGTTCATGTTTGACAAAACATTTACGAAGAAGTCTTGACAAAACATGTACGAAGAAGTCTTGACAAAACATGTACGATGAAATCATGAAAATTCAAGAGGTTAGAAAACAGGTTAGAAAACAGGTTAGATCTAACCTTCTACCCTAAACATTATTTTTGCTGAATTCAGCAACAAAATTCTTGATTTCAGGGATTTTTTTGACGAAGTGTAAATCTTCACTTCGTCAAAAAATGGCATAAGATTGCTTCCCTCGGAAAACCGAGAGAAGAACAGCGAGTAAGTAAAAAAACCCAGTCGCCAAAACTCTATGAAATTCATGAATTTCCTTAAGATAGAAAAAATAAAGTTAGTTTTATTTTTATTTATTTTTTTATTTTGTATGTAAAGACATATATGACAAACATTGAGTTTGAAACAGTTAGAAAGATAGACAATGACACCAAATTGGTTAGAATAGGTGATTTAAACGTAAGATACTCAAAGAAATACAACAAATATTCTTTGTCAGACATTATATTTCCATCTGGAAAGAAAACAAAGGACTGGGTTAGAATTGCTTCTACTCAGAAAATTTTGACAAGAAATCCTGAGCTTATGATATCGTAAGATTCTATGGAACTGCAGCATATCTTATAGACAAAGTCTTATACCAATAGTTTTGTATGGTTAGACCCAGTTGTTGGATATAACTTCATAACATATGGTTCATTCGATACGGAACGTTGCAGTGAAGGCTTACTTTACATCGTTCAGAAACCGAAGGACTTCAATACAAAGAGATATAAGATAGGAAGGACATATAATATAACTCTAAGATATGACTCTACAGTCAATAGAGTCAAGGTTGTGTTCGTTAATGATATGAGAGCTGCAGAAACAGAACTACTTGAAAAGTTTGAGAAAATGTATGGTGCTCCCATAAAAGGTAAAGAAACGTTTGAAGTAGATGAGATAGATAAAGCTATAAAATTATTTGACGAAGTTGCTGAAAAATACATGTAAAGCGTTTATTTTTTATAAAATTTGACGAAGTGCAAATCTTCACTTCGTGCCATAATGTAAAAATAACGCTAATTTTTTATAAAATTTGACGAAGTGCAAATCTTCACTTCGTGTCATAATGTAAAAATAACGCTAATTTTTTATAAAATATTTTTTTTATCCGGAATATAAAGACAGATATGTCAACAACAGAGAACACAACAACAGTTATAGTCCATGAAGCTATAAATGAAGAATATGAGTGGGTTCAGTTTAACAAACAACTCCGTCTCATTCGTTCGGTCAAAGACGATATGTACCAGATGCAAAGTATTTTGACAGCATGTTTTGCTCCAGATACCAAACATACAGACGATTGGTTCAAAAACCAAAGCACACAAGAACTTTTGAGCGAAGCACAGCGAGACCGACTTTTTTCGGGGTCGCCTAAAACTCATGAAAATCGTAAAAATTTGCCAAATGGTTTGAGAGGTTGGTATGTACATAGACTTCTTGTAAATGCTGTTGCAATGTGGGCTTCGCCTCGTTATGCTTGGTATATTTACAGACTTCTTGACGAAATTCATAGACAAGAACGTGAAGAGATGGAAAACAAGCTTGAAGCAAAAGACAAAAGCATTCAGAAAAGAATACCACGTTCGGTACCAAAAGGAAAGGAAAAGAACTATAAGTATATGATTTATACTGAAGAGATGGAAAATGAAGAAGATAAAGATATGGTTATGTTGCATTTAGTCAGAAGAAACAACAAAAGCTTTTACGACCTTGCTAAGATTTACAAATCTGACAGAAAATTGGTTCTATCGCGAAAACTTACCGATTTCAATGACCCCAAATGAAGATGTGAAACAAATAGTTCAAGATACGTTACCTCAAATACACTATGATATGAAAGGTTGTACAATACTTACCTTCAAAGAAGATTTGCCATTGTTAAAGGAAAAAATAACAGAGTATTTTGACAACTTCAAACAAGTAGGGTAGATGCACTCTTTATTTTTACGCTTGACTTCAGATGGCTCAAGTAGCTCAATTAGGTAAATTGCCTCGTCAAATCCTTCTGACATTCCGAGTCCTTCCATCCGACAGGAAAAAATTTTCCCGACAACTGGAAAAAATTTTCCTTCCGACAGGAAGAACTCTTCCATCCGACAGGAAAAATTTTTCCATCCGACAGGAAAAATTTTTCCAGTTGTCCGTCCGTAAACCATTCAAATTTTCGAAAATTGAGAACTTTTTGGTCGAACTTCAGAAAAAATTTTTCCATCCGACAGGAAAAAATTTTCCATTCGACAGGAAAAAATTTTCCTTCCGACAGGAAGAACTCTTCCATCCGACAGGAAAAATTTTTCCTTCCGACAGGACACAAACGGATGACTGACGTTCCTCTTCCTGAATGCCTTCCAAAGCCAGAAGAACCGACAGACCCAGCACCACAACAGACTTACTAAGACTAAACACTTACATTTTTCAAGCTTGACTTTTTACAATTTGAACTTTGTTTGCGTAGATATGAATTCTGAAAGAAGTATGAGGGTCTTGTATGACTTTATACTTCTCCCATAGTTCATGTCTGTCAAACTTACCTGCCATGGACTCTTTCATAAGTTCCATGAAATCGTCTTCGGACAATCCGGGGAAAAGTATAATGTCAGTAAGTATTCTTTTAACATCCTTACTTAAACTCTTTGCTGTCTGTACACATATTACGACTGAAATGTTAAAGTGTCTGAGCTTCTTAAGAATTCGACACATATCTTGTTCTCTATTCTTTAACAAAGGATGAGAGGCGAAATCATCTAAGATAAGAAGACATCTATGAGGGTACGTTTTCCAATCGTACGATTGCAATTTCTTCGAAATGTATTCTATCTCTTTCTGTTTGTTTCTGAAGTGTTTCTTCTCTAATATTCTCTGCATTTCCTCATTTGGGTCTTTAAACTTAGAATTTATATACTCATTTATAGCATTATACTTCAAAACTCTTCTTTGGTACTTCTTTATCCAATCTAACAACTCAGTATCCTTTATACATACTAACTTAGACTTCTTTATAATATCTTTGAACGAATTGACGGTTTGGTCAAATTGACCAGAAGTCGAACAAATAACAACTAACTCATAGAATGGGTTCTTCTCATCTAGTTCTTGTTGTTGTGCAGCCATTTTAAGATAAGTGAAAGTCTTACCCGACCCAGGTGGTGCAATTAGACCTGTTATACCATTCTGAGCAAATAAGAACCTGTCATAGTTAGTATGGCTAAGTCGTGTACTGAGGCACTGCGCGCCTCCGTACACCACTTAACCTTAAATATTTACAAAACCAGTAACGTATATTTTACAACACAAACGACAACACTAACTTAACATTAAATATTTACAAAGCCGCCAACCACTTCACTTCACTAACGTTTTCACAAATGACTTCATTAATGTAAAAATAAACGTTCTCACTTACAAAAGTATTGCAACTCCTCCCATTGCTGTGCTTCACATAACAGCTCATAATCTTCTGACTCACTTTCTTCTTCATATAGGTCAAAGTCACTGTCAAAATAAATGTTAGTAAGTTTTGACAAAGCTAATGAAACACGTTTACCGTTTGTATCGTATGCTTGTATAAACTTTCCATTCTTCATTCCTTCATAAACGCTCAAACTAACTTTACCCTTTCTCCCTCGTATCTGATAGAATGTATTTTCACGAGGAACGAAGAACAAATTCTTGAACTCATGACCGTTGTAGTTTGTTATCTCAATAGTTTTCGTCATTTATATAAAAATAAACTTAAAAATTAATGATATCACCACCCTCACACGTATGAAAACATAGCACAAAAATAATGTTTATGTTAGAATGTTAGATCTAACACGTTTTCTAACCTCATTTCTAACCTTGTTGAATTCATTGCTTTATAACTCTCTTCCTTGGTTTCTTTTTAGTTGCTTTCTTCACGTCTGTCTCCAACTTGACTGTCTTTCTTCTTCGTCCGTAATGATACCAGTTACTTCCACCAGTCAATGGGTCAAATGGTCTTTCGTAAGGGTTTCCATACATTCCATAGGGACCATACGGAAGAACTACTGGTGGAGAAGAAACATTTTCTATAGTTCCATCGACTCTATTTAAATGCATTGTTTCACCTTTCATCTGGTCATTAAAGTCTTTTGCGTGTTTTGCAAACTCATCGTCCTTTCCTAAAGCATTTTCTGACTCAGTCGCAACCAAATTGGATGCTTTATTTATGAGCCCTATTTTATTTAATCTTAACTTCTTTGCAACCCAGCCTCCAATCTTTCCTTTATTTGCATCTAATGTCTTCGAACCCTTCCTCCACTCATTTTATTTACTGCGTCATAAGCTCCAAGTGCTTTTGCTCCAAATGCTAATGCTTTTGTCCCATTGCGCCTAAAGCTGCCCAAGCTACCATTTACACCATATTAAAATCATCTCTCTTCAATATTATCTCATAAAAGTTCTCGTTACTGGAGAAAGTCAATGAAACATAAGCGTTCTCACGGGCTTCGCCCTCACCGCTTTGCGGTCTATCTAACTTCTTTCTTATCTCATCTATACGCTTCAAAATGTCTGAACAATTGCTAACATCTTCTACAACAGTTATTTCATCATGAATGACCTTCAAGAACAAACTCATTTAATATGCAATTAAAATCATTCAATAATGAGTCCATCCTTTCCATCTTTAGGTAGCACAACATCTTTCATTGAAGAAGGTTCGACAAGTCTTATATTAAACTTACTGACAAAGTTTGTTATACTATAATGCTTCGGCGGCGAATACATATAGTTTGAAAGACATAATATAGATTCTTCAGCAAATTCACTTATACTGGATTTTATAACAATGTTCTCACGAGACCAAATACCACCAACTGACAATCTTGTAAGCAATCCTGCTGAGCCTTCAACTGTAAACGTCGATGGTAACATTCCACGAAGGTCATCTATTGACATCGTTGAGTCACTGTATTTAAATATTTTCTTAAAGCAATCGTCATTATCTAACCATGCAATAGCTTTGAAGTTTTCATTCGAATATACATCTGCTTCATTAAATGTAAAACCTGACTTCTTTGCAGAGATGACTTTAAAATCTATTGAGTTTGTTTCAAAATTATATGCTATGGTAACTTCTGAAGGTAATGGATGTCCTTCCGCAGTCAGTTGTTCTCTCACTACCGTTTGAAGCTTTGTGTTAAAAACTTTCATGTCATCTCCTGTGTCTAGGTTCACATACACAGCAACAGGAAAACTATCTTGCTTCTTTGTTTCATCATTATATCTCAAAACATTAAAGTTCTTCAATAATATTGTTCTTCCTGCTGGAATACTTCGAACCTGTCTGATTTCAATAGCTTTCTCACCTCCTACATACTCTACCCAGTGTCTTGGATATTCATAAGTATACTGACTTTCTTGAATTTTGGTTGGTTTCATCATAACGTGTTCATAGTATATCTTTATACTCTTGTCAGTTAGACTCGGTGCTATGTTCTGAATATTTCTGACTTGCATTTTTAATGGAGATAAAATGAAGCATTTAATACATGACGTAGATGAAGACATGAATGAAAGCAGTGAAAAGCTCAACAGTTCTCTTATTCTTCCTTTCAGTAAGGACTATGAGTTCTGTTCAAATGGTGTTTATTTCTATTGTGGAAAGATGGGTTCAGGTAAGACATTTAACCTCATTCGTCATATACTCATAACAGAACGTTTAGGAAATGACTCATATTATGACCAAATCATTATATCAGCAACTTCAGACTCTATGGACTCAACAGCGAAAACATTCATGAGTAAAGTTCAAGCCTCTGTCGTTAAAGTTCCAGACAGTGAACTCATTGAATTTCTTCAACGTTACATTCGACGTAAGAGGAAATATTATGCCATCGTTGAATTTATACAGTCAGGAATGCAAAAGACTTCAGAAGAGATGGAAAGAATTATTGACAAACACCACTTACGTCAATACTCAGGAGTTTACGATATGAAACGACTTACAAACTACATTCTGTCAAAACTTTCAAAATACCCCTTCAAAAAGTATCCTTCAAACACTCTGCTCGTTTGCGACGACTTCGCTGGTAAAGGTTTAGTTTCAAAGCCTGACTCACCATTAGCTAACATCATTACTAAAGTCAGACATTACCATTTAACTGTAGCAATACTTATGCAAACATGGAGGTTTTTAGCTTTAAACATAAAACGTCTCATAACTGACTTCGTTATCTTTCAAGGTTTCTCACGCTATGATATTGAACTCATTTGGAAACAGTCAGGTATAACATTACCTTTTGAAGAAATTTGGGAAGCATATAAGTCTCTCATCTCTCCTCGTTCATACCTTGAGATTCATATCATGACTAATACCATTAAAGTCAAAAATATTCCATGGGAACGACCAACATTGTTTTAAAGTTTAACCTTCAATTGACTGATGGTAAACAAATTCCATGCATCTCTGTCGCCATTTCTGTTAATATTTTTGCTGTCATTCATATCATCCACTTCCCATCCGTTAGCTTTTGAGGATATGCGTTAGAATAGCTGTTCTTAAATGAAGGCTTTTCACCTTTGAGAGCATAAACTCTATAACTTTCTGCATACTTTATGTTTGAACCTCCTGAGCCATCATTGACATAAATTTTTATAGGCTTCCACCCTTTGTTCATGTTCCTGCTTCTTCCCTTAGCTCTTTTGTTCAGTAGTTCTACATCTTTATACACAGCACCTGTCTCAGTGAATTCAACAATATTTTCATTCGTTAGCTTTACATTCAAACCCTTGTCGAGTATATTGTTCATTTCATACATATAAAAGGTTTTTATTCTATATGAAATGAGAAGCAAATCCATCTTAGCTGGTGCCGTTAATGTTCCAATTGAACCAACATCAAATGTTGACTCACGAACGACAAACAATATTGTCATAAAGAACTATAGTTCAGAGTGTTTGAAAGAACCAGAACCAGAGCTGAAATCCGTGAATTTAAACACAGCTTCAAACGCTAACGCTACATCAGATGTTAAGTTAGAGTATCCACCACTGGACCAAATTCTTTCAAGAGAAGCCAACGACAACCCTTACACAAATGTTCAAACAAATCCTTCAGATAACGTAGACCATTACCTTCTTCAGTTATACCAAACAATTTTACTCAAAGACGATAAGAAGCTTTTGACAAATCTTATAAGCAAGAACCAAATAATTCTAACAAAGGAGGACCTTGAAAATGTTATCTCACGAATAACAGGGAAACAATGTGTCATTGACTATCTCGACCCTGAAATCGAATGCTGTGGTCAAACTCCATATTCATGAAAATAGGTAACATCCGCATCATTGAAACACCAGGAACTACAGGAGTTGAGTTTAAGTATAAATATTCGAACGAGTATACAAAACTTTCAACAGAATATAAGCTTTGCTTGAAATATGTTTTAGTAAATTAAAGCAATTTGTATATATCCAAAACTTCTTCAACAGTATCGAACTCATCTTCATAATGCAAACCTAATCTTATTGACTTGGTGCAGTTTTCACTAACACAATATAGCGCTTTGCGCTCGGCGCCTTTGACGCTTTTTCTGTTCTCTTGACTGACATAACTAACTCATTTGTTTCATCAAACAGCAACAACCAAAGTTCATGACCTAATACATAACATTCATACTTTATATTTTTAGCTCTGAGTTCTCTTGTAAGCTGTTGCATTTAATATTTTCTAAAAAGTCAACTTCAACAGTCATTCGCACTGGTGCCTTCAGTTCTACAGGCTCTCCTTGAAAGTCAACAAGTCTGAATTGCATGTCTTTCAAATTATGAGGACTAATGCGAACCCATTTACCTAAATGAGTTGCTATGACAGGAACGTTTGGAATGAACATTGAATTGACTGCATAACAGAAGGATTTATATTCTACTGAACCTTTACTATTAACTCCTGAAATACCTGTGACATTAGCTATTTTTGACTCAACGTACAAACAATTACCATAACATACGTATGGAACAGATTTCATCTCAATCGTTTTGTCAACACTTTTCAAAGGAAATGTCATATGGTATGCTCCCAGAAGAAGTTGTACTCTATGACTCATTCTTGGTATCTTGAACTCTTTCTTGCTACTGAACTTCAATGTTCCCTCAGAAGAGAGTTCGACATCTATGTTGTCAATAGTTTCTTCATTTATGAGAGTATCTATGACTCCAGCAATTTTATCTATTCTATACTCTGCTCTGTTAGGAAATGTTATAAAACTTCTTTTGTCATCTATTTCAACTCATGAAATCTGTTTCATCTGTTATGACAAAAGTTGCGATAGTATTGAAGTCAACAACTCTGAAAGCAAGCGCTTCATTCTGAAGACCTAAGTTTGTTTGTAGCTTTACTGTCCCGTATTCGTTTGGGTCTGTACTTTGCAAATAGAACAACATTTTATTCTCATTAAAATATGACTATTGCTGCATATGCGTATGAAACAAATGAAGCAAGAAGAGCACATGAACTAGTAAACGAAAACTCAACTTTAACCATTGAAGGCAATGATTTAGTCATTGACGAAAAAACTAAAAAAGTCATTGATTTCGATACTTTTAACACTTATGACCCATTCATTACAACAAGCAAGGTTCCCATCATAAATGATGGAACGGTGCAATATATAAATTCTACAGTAGATGCCTCATTAGTGAAAGTATTAAATGTTCTCATTGAATTGTTAAAGAGCTTTCGATTTGACGACAACATTAAATGCCTAAAGAATTTAGTCATGAATGAGAAACAAATTCTCGGCGTTGCTGGTAGCAGTAATGATGTACACCTTATGACATTAGAATATTATAACGAACATAAAGATGAACTGAAAGGAGAGAAGGGTGACACCGGACCTCAAGGACCACAAGGAATACAAGGAATACAAGGAATACAAGGAATACAAGGACCTCAAGGCGAAAACGGTTTGGATGGAAAGGATGGAAAGGATGGAAAAACTGCTAAATCATGGATATGGGACCTTATAAATACTGGTTTAACAGCTGCTTCATATGGAGTTCTTCAATACCAAATCGGAAAGATATGGGCGGTACTTGGTGAAGAAGTTTTAAATGACGTTAAAAATGCTTTGAACTTCATTTCAAATGGTTCGGATACTATTAAAACTTTATCTGGTTGGATGCAAGAAACAAGGAGTCAAATAGATACTGTAAGACGTATAGCAAACAATGCACGTACGGGATTGGATACTTTACGACAAGCACAAAATACACTAAAGGAAGCAAATGATATTCTTGGCTCAGTATCAGACATGCATGAAGATTGGCTTAAAGGTATTGACAAATCTTTAAAAAATCACAGTCAGTCTATTGCTGACTACAAGAAAAGTATAGATTTTTTACATAGTGCTATGGACGTACATGATGGAAGCATAAGGAACTTACTTAATGCTAACAATAACTTACCAGGAACTATTAAAGCATTTATAAAGTCCTTTGTAAAACCCGGTGCTCTAACATTTAGGTCTTTGAGAGCAAGAGCATTGAAGTCAAGAGATGCAGAAACTCCAACAGAACCTACAGAAGGAACTGAAACAACAGAAACTCCAAAAGAACCACCAAAACCAACAGCTAATGAAATATTGTTCGAATATTTTCCAAGGTACTCTGTTCTCATTGCATACATTCAAGAAATACTTAAGAAAGCAGACTTGACTTTAGGAGATGATGAAAGTTCTGTATATCTTTCGTTCCAGTTTCAAATAGCAGAACTTTTGAGACAGATATGCTTAATGTATGACAACATCTCTGATTTCACAAGATATGATGACGACCATGACCCCGAACATGGTGAAGAAGAAGTTTTACAAACATCCATTAAGACAGGAAAGGTTTTAACTCAAAGTCTCATTATTGACACCAAAGATGGCGAAGTGGACGTTCTTCAAGAGCTGAAGAAAAATACTTCTTCGGGAGGTGGTGGTAGGCATGAACTTGAAATAAATGAGATAGAAGAGAAATTAGCCGAAAAAGCAGATAAAGAACATAAACACAATATCTCCGATATAAATGAACTTCAAGCTACATTAAATAGTAAAGCGGACAAAAATGAACTTGACGCAATGAACAAAGTTTTGAAATCTCATAAACACAACATCTCCGATATAAATGAACTTCAAGCTACATTAAATAGTAAAGCGGACAAGAACCATGTTCATTATATAACTTCAGACGAACAGATTATAACGGACTACCATGGATATTTAACACGAAGTGATGAAGCGAAGACAAAAAATGTTAATGAAAGAAGATATAAATACATTCGTGCTAAAGGTTATGACATAAGCTGTACTGTACAGTATGATGTAGCTAAAGCACCAGAAGCATTTGGTTATACCGGTGAAATTTATGCCTCTACTTTCAATGTTAACGGTGTATTAGTTGAACCAAGATTTATGTTAAGAGTTAAGGCAAAAATAACGTTTGAAGATGCTATTAAAAGTAAAGCTGACAAAGTTGAACTCGAAGCAACGAACAAAGTTTTGAAATCTCATAAACACAACATCTCCGATATAAATGAACTTCAAGCTACATTAGACAGTAAAGCTGACAAGAACCATACACATAAATCCTTCACTACTGTTAGAGCAGACGACATAATATTGAACTTTGACCTTGGTTCAAGTGCACCATTAGAAAATCCAAGTACAAGCGTAAAAGATACTCTTAACAGTTTAGATAAGAGTTGCAGGAACATTGAAAGTCATGCCAGAAACTTTGAAGCACATGAACTACCAACAATGTTAGATAAGAAAGCAGACAAAACTTATGTGGATGCAGAACTAACAAAGAAATTTTCGAAACCAGATACAATGACATTTACAACAGAAATTATAAATGGTGAACCAGCAACTCCATTTGAATTTGTTAGAGGTCTTCAACCAGATACTTTTGAATTTTTCTTGGATAATTCTATTGAACTAACATTACATTATAAAAGTGGAACAAATGCAACATTTCATCCGGGAGATACATTCCAAATGGTATTTAATGACATAAGTTCTTTAGAATATGTTTATAGAGTTATGAGCATATATGATTTAATATATCCTATAGGAGCTGTTTATACGTCTATGAATCCAATAAATCCAAACACTTTATTTGGTGGTAGATGGTATGAAATAGTTGACAGTTTTCCATTCTACACTAATACTCAGTCAATGAAGATGGGAGGTTCAAAGAAAATAGGTATTGAAAACCTTCCTTCACATATGCATAGGTTCAGTGGAAGAACATCTGTGGAAGGAAACCATTCACATTCAATAACAAAAAGAGGTTATACAAATCTTGCAGCGGGTTCGGATAGACAGGGAATGCATAGATATGATATCACAACTGACCCCAAAGATGTTAGCACAGGTATTTTCTGTGGAACTGCAGGAAATCATACACATGTTGTAGCTGGTATTACAGACCCAGCAGGTAATGGAAAAGATTATATGCCTCCTTATATAACAATGCACGCTTGGATACGAGTTGGTTAAAATCTTTAACTTTACATAAATGAGCTTGAAAGAAGTATTCGAACAACATCCATGGAGGTCATTTAAGAAATTCAATGAAGCTGCAAAGAGTTGGGGATTTACTAACAGAGCTGAAGTGAAAAGGTTCTTTGACAAAAATGTTGTACATCAAACAAAAATAAACCCTTACGACTACTTTTTACCAATTTACTCCAACACTCCTGACGCATACCAATTTGACACTCTCATTCAAAGCAGAAAAGGAGGACATAAACCATTCCTCATCTTCATAAATGTTAACACTCGTAAAGCATATGCATATCCAATGAAAAATAAAGGAACTCGTGAAGTGTTAAGAGTTTTACAAAAGTTTGTAGCAGAACATAACCCAAGTACTTTAACATCAGACCAAGACAGTGCATACCTCAGCAATGAAATCACAGAATTTCTCATTAAGCATAACATAACTCACTACACTACTGAAGACCATAACCATAACATACTCGGCATCATAAACCGCTTCATAAGAACGCTCAGAGATTTAAATCAAGAGCGAGACTTTACCGAAGAAACAATGAAACATTTTCTCGAAGTATATAATTCCTCAACACATTCTACAACAGGACATACACCAAATTCAATGACACAACAACAAGAAGAAAAGTATATACAAAAGAAACGAAGCCAAACACAAAATATCAGAAATTCAACACAATTTACCCTCATTCCTGGTACAAAAGTTCGTGTAGTTCTTGACGACAAACCGTTGACAAAGAAACGTTTAAGGTTAAGTAGAAACTATTATATCGTAGACTCTACACAAGGTAATGGATATCTTATAAAAGCTGCTGACGACTCCATAGCATTTTACCCTCGACATAAGTTAGTTGAAAGTAGTAATGGCAAACTTGCTGAAACCATTGACGAAGCAAAGCGAGGAGTGGTTATTGAAATACTTGGCTACAACATAAACGATGACACTTATAAAGTAAGATATGAAGGAGGTGTTGAAGATGTTATACCATCTAAGAACTTGAGAGAGTCAAAGCCAACACATCTGGGACCATTAGAGCGGGAGTACTGGAAAGACAAAAATATGCCAGAAAGAATAAGAAAATTCTTCTAAACTTTTTCATTAGATGTAAATCAGACATGAATGAGAACAGTCATGATATCATTAATGGTACCATTTATTTACACCAAAAAATAATGTTTATGTTAGAATGTTAGATCTAACACGTTTTCTAACCACTTTTCTAACATGGTCTAAAACTCTCGAAAATCATGAATTTTTGACATTTCCTTATGAAAGAAAAATAACGCTAATTTTTTTCTAAGAAAAATTTTTATCTTGTATGTAAAGATATGATTTCAACAATCGGCACAACAACAATTCAAACTACAGCACCAAACTCGTTAGTCATGAATCCAACATCTATGTTAGTAGAGATGAAAAGCTTCATTCCTTCTTCATATACTTTCGAAACAAAAATCCAGAAGATAAAGCAAGAACTTTTAACAAGTAATTTAGACTGTAGTGCGAAAGATGAAACAAATGAACAGTATCTTTATGAAATGCAGGACATTATTGACCATTTACCCAAATTGCCTGAAATCCAACAACAAAAACTAACTATTCCTGAATTCGACGAAATTGAAGTCAAAACAACTGACTCAGTAGAAATAAAGAAGTTCATACGTAAAGTAAATTATGAATTCCTTGGTTTTCATTGCAACCATAAAGTTATGGACAAAGATTGCGACATGGTTTATAAGAATGTTTCTGACATATATAAATCTGAAGAATTTAAGACCTACGATAACTTTGTTTCATTAGTTGCTGAATGTGTTTGGGAAATAAGAGATAAAGATAGAAGAGGCAAAGTATGGAACGAACAACTAAGACCCGCTATGTTTGAGATGAAGAGAGCAATTGACGCCTTAGTTGTTTTAGCAGGTCAAATTTCAATGTATAACGCAAAAATGAACCCGCAATGTTCAAAATGTAAGGCAGCGATGAGGAAATATAACTACTCCGTCAAAGAGATAGAAAGAATGAGAAACGACTATGCAGATTTAAAGAAAGAAGTAGAAAAGCCAGCAGAAGATAAAATGGACATGTTAGCATTTCTGAACAAAAATTATCCAACTGCTGACGATTTCCTTCTATCTGACGTCAAGAAGAAATATAAAGAAACCTTCGGCATTGTTAAAACATTCGATGTACTAAAAGAAGAAATAGAAGCTACAAAACTGTTTAAAGTCATGAACCATCGCAACATATACCATGTAAAACGCTTGTAAATAGTTATGTTAGAAAAGAGGTTAGAAAACGTGTTAGATCTAACATGCTAACATAAACATTATTTTTGCTGAATTCAGCACAAAATTCTGAGTAAAATGACATATGGCACGTGTCAAACCGTTGAGTTTTCACAAATTTTAAAAATTGCTGCGGAAAGTTCGTCAAAAAAGTGAAGGTTCCCGACGGTTTCAAACCGCCATACTTTACATGAAGATAGTTTACAATGTCAACTAAATATCATGTACGATAGAAACGGTTATGTAAAGTTTACATTTTGTAAAGTTTTGTCCTGATTCAAGACAAGTCTTGTATTTTTTCAGAACAAGTCTTGTATTTTTTCAGAACAAGTCTTGTATTTTTTCAAGACAAATCTTGTCCTGATTCAGAACAAGTCTTGCACTTTTTAGTCAGTTTTTCTTGTAAAGTTCTCAAATTTGAGAACAATTGTCCTGATTCAAGACAAGTCTTGTATTTTTTCAGAACAAGTCTTGTATTTTTTCAGAACAAGTCTTGTATTTTTTCAGAACAAATCTTGTCCTGATTCAGAACAAGTCTTGCACTTTTTCAGGAAATCCTATCGTCTAACTTTACAAATGTCACTTTTTCAACATGATTGCATTTTGGTCGGGAAACAACTTTCTCTCAATTTTGTCACTTTTTTCTATCGTCGTGTTTTGTCACTTTTCCCTCAGGGTGTGTGTCAGAAAATATCCAAAATCTTTATAGCCTCGTATCTCCTTCAATTCTTGACGGCTTGACATGTATGACACACCATTCAATTCAGAATTATGTGCTGAATCTTATGACCTTCATTTGTTCGTGACTTCTTTTCACATATGTAACCCTGAATTTTTAACATTTCTTTAACACAGAAAAATAAAGTTAGTTTTATTTTTATTTATTTTTTTATTTTGTATGTAAGGACAGATATGTCAACAACAGAGAACACAACAACTGCTATCGTTCATGAAGCCATAAATGAAGAATACGAGTGGGTTCAGTTTAACAAACAACTCCGTCTCATTCGTTCGGTCAAAGACGATATGTACCAAATGCAAAGTATTTTGAATGCTCTTCGTTCTACAAAGCAAGCATATCATTGGTTTGAAAACCAACAGACAAAAGAACTTTTAGAAGAATTTCCTCATATGTTTGCTTCCCTCGGAAAACCGAGGGAAGAGATTCCATTCGAAAATCGCAAGAATTTGGCACCTTGTTTGAAAGGTTATTATGTTCATAGACTTTTAGTAAATGCGTAGCAATGTGGGCTTCACCTCGTTATGCTTGTTATATTTTCATGATGTTAGATGAAATTCATAGACAAGAACGTGGAGAGATGGAAAAGAAACTTCAAGCAAAAGATGAAGTCATTGAATCCAAAGACAAAAGCATACAGAAAAGAATACCACGTTCAGTACCAAAAGGAAAGGAAAAGAGTTATAAGTATATGATATATACTGAAGAGTTGGAGAAAGAAGAAGATAAAGATATGGTTATGTTGCATTTAGTCAGAAGAAACAACAAAAGCTTTTATGACCTTGCTAAGATTTACAAATCTGACAGAAACTGGTTCTATCGTGAAAACTTACCGATTTCAATGACACCGAATGAGCAAATAAAGGAAATTGTCAAAAATACTCTTCCTCAAACACACTATGACATCAAAGGTTGCACAATACTTACATTCAAAGAAGACTTAACATTACTGAAGGAAAAAATAACAGAATATTTCGATAACTTCAAAGAGGAAGAATAAAAAAATCTAAGCTAATTTTATTTTTTTATAAAATTTTATCTCATATGAAAGAACATGAATTTAGAATATTCGGAACTCATGACAGAAGAAGAGAACGAACAACATGTAAAAGATTATGCAAAATTTCTGAAGATATATAAAGCATTTAAACAATATCTAAATGCTTCTAAAGATTATGCAAAATTTCTGAAGGTATATAAAGCTTATGAAAAAGCGTATGAAAAGTTTATACATTGGGGAATTGTTGTAAAATATCGATATGAAGACTAACCAAAAATATATTTTTGCTTAAATGACGTCAGGGTCAATTTCTTCAACCATTTCACTTCCTTCGTCAATGTCAATAGAAGCTTCTTCAACCTTTGGTAAGAACTTTTGTATAACATCTTTGTTCGTTATTGTTTTCAGAGATGAAGAATAATATTTCACATTTGTTTCACCCTTCTTATATTCTTTCTGTTCGGAAAGATTCATAGCAATACTGAAGAAGTCAATGTTGGAGTTCTTTATAATAGTATAATGAGTATCTTTGACATTCACGAAGAAACTCTTTTGTTTCAAAACTACTGCTAACTCTTGTGAAGTATAACGTTTGCGGTCAATGACGATAGCTAATGGTCTGACATACTGACCGAACTTAGATTCTTTCACAAACTTCTTGTTAAAGATAACATTAACGTTTGAAGCACCATTGAACTCATTCTTGATGGCAGTAGCGAGAGCATTGTATGAAAAGAACTTGCAATCTTGCATGTGTTTCATTAAAATAAAAATATTAAATTATTTTGAAAAATAACTTAAAAAAATCTAATCTAATTTTTTCAAAAAATATTTTTTATCCGATAGAAAAGATGACAGAAAAATTAACTTTTTACATAGCGCCAGACCCTTCTTGCCCACATCTTTTTAAGCCACAATATATAGTCATAGAACTAAATAGAGAAAGCGAAATTCTACAAATAGAAGAAAGCGAAATTCTACAAACAGAAGAAACATATAGAGACCTAGATAACGAAACTGGATATGCACTATTCTGGTTAGATTGTCCTTATGAAATGTATGAAAAAAAGGCTTTATATGAAGAATATAGAAAATATTGTCATGAAAACAATATAAGACCAAGCTCTAGAGAAAAATTCTATGCTGGTATAAAACATCTTTTCGAAGTTCGGAATGGCAAATATAGAAAGAAATAATTTTTCTAAGTTTATTTTTTCAAAAAATATTTTTTTTATTTCCTACTAAAGATGTATCGGAAGTTGTCTAAGTTAGAACACTCGGAAATAAAACAACTTCTTACAGAAGCTAATATAGATGTTGCAAAGCATTACACAACAAACAAAAAGGCACTCGCTGACATCCTCAATGACTATAATGGTGAAATAACTTATGATAGAATTCATGAGTTCATAAAGCCGCAACGCGGCGAGGACGAAGTCCATGCAAGAGCATTTCCTTTAAATGACGTTGCTATTGACTTATATCATAGACGTTCAATACCTCATGAAGTAAGAAGAGAAATGTTTGACATAACAAATGCAAACGTTGGTCATACTCGTAAAGCTCTTTCACATGACGTTCGTCAAGAGATGTTTGACATAACAAATGCAAACGTTGGTGAAACAAGAAGAGCTGTACCACATGAAGTAAGAAGAGAAATGTTTGACATAACAAATGCAAACGTTGGTGAAACACGAAAGAGAGATGACACACTGAAACAACAGAGAAGAGAGATGTTTAAAAGTGCTATAGAACAAGTTCGCAAAGCTAATAATGTCATTCGTTCCATTGACGACAAACCAAAAGAAGGTGAGAGATGGTTAAAGAAAGATGAAGAAAATAGGAAGAGGAATGTGAAGTCAGGCAATAGACTCATTGACTTTAACATCGAAGCTTTAGATGAACCAAACAGAGACTACTTACACAAACATTTCGGTAAGGTTTTCATGAGACTCTTAGAGAAAATTAAAATAAACTCCCAACAGAGATGGATGGTATGTTATAAACTTGGTGGAAAGTATGAATGTTCTACGTTAAACCTCAATAATATTGGAACATTACTACATCAGCTCTTGAAGGAGAACTTTATATCAGAGATAGAAGCAAATGCTGCAGGTATTGTTGAAATGCACTATGACTTCTTCTTGACAAACATAAAGAATCTTACGAAATAAAGATGTATGATTTAACAGAATATGAAGGCTTAACGATGTCAGATGTAAAGAAAGGCAAACCAAAAAAAGAGACCATATAGAGATGAAAGCACACTGACAAATGACCAGAAAGCCATTTTGGAAGCTCTTAAGCAAACAGGAAACCCAGCACTTATAGAAAGCTTTTGGAAAGATAATGGTGAAAAGAAGTTTTATAAGAAGAGAAGCGGGCAGTTCTGGAAGTATCTTTGCACATTACCTATAAATCTTGAACGCTACCAAATCTTCAATGAACTGAACAAAAGAACTGCAACACTTATGACAGAAGATAACTGCTTCGTTTATGCTTGCATTCAGGCTGGAGTAAATGAAGAAACTATTGACCACATGAGAGAAGTCATTCGTGTTAGAGACTTTCCTCAAAGTAAAGTACAAGAAATTTCTGACGCAACAGGTATAGCATTTAATGTTACCATTGGTTACTTCAATGACTCAAGACATAATGAAATAAAGAGATATATACCAAAAGAATGCGAAACTGTTAGAACTATTGACTTACTTCTTGTTGAAGACCACTACATGCTAAATGAAAGACTTCCAATGACAACATATTTCATTCGAAACTATATAGAAATCTTGAAGAGTGTGGTGGAATGAACATTGAAAACAGATGAAAATATATACAAAGAGAGAAGATAAATATGTAGTTCGCATGGATAGAACAACACCGCTATGGGATGTTATGAAAACATTGTGGGAGTGCAAATATTTCGAACCTATTTCTTATGGAGAACTTTTCACATATACTACTGACTTATATAAACAGAACCTTGCCACCATTTAAGAAACATATGCTCCAAGTATTGTGTACAACTGAAGAAGAAAGCAGAGTCAAAAGAAGTAAATAAAGC